AACATAAATTTATTAATGAGACACTTTACATTTTGTGTACTGTCATTGAAATTGAATGTAGATTTTAGCATCTATCACATATTTCAATTAGGATTATCCATATTTCAAGTAGTCCATAGCCACATGTGTTAGTGGCTATTGCATTGGACAGTGCAGATTTATACAGCATTTTTTAAACCCTGTAAGAGGCATAACAATAATTGCACTATTTTGAGTGGCAAGCATTTTAGAAGGATCATCTCATCTAATCCTGATAACAACCTTCATCTATGGATGAGGAAAGATAGACACAGAAATGGTTAGTGACTTAACTCTCGATCACACTGCTAGTATATGGCTAAGTCGGGTCTTGAATTCAGTTGTAATTTAAAGCTACAACTTAGAGCCACGGATTAACTGGGTGGTCTTGAGCAAGTCACTTCCCTGCATTTTAGTTTCCTCATCCACAAAGTGGGAAGAGGGGTGGAGTGGCTTATCCACAGTGGGTACTGCACTCTTCGATCTTCCTCTTTATTCCCTACTAGTTCCTGGCAAGCCTGCTTTCCTGTTTCACTCATGGGGACCTCCGATTTACACCATTCCTTCTTTTCTTTGCTCAGAGGGCTCTGCTAGGCTGGCCATTCCTGGTTGGGGCTGCCCTAACCACATACACACTGTGCAGCGGGAAGGAGCCCCGCTCATGTGCAGGAGTGGTACTGCGTGTTCATCTGAGCTTTTATATTTCCAGCGTAAAGTCCGGCTTCCACTTCTTGATGCTTTTTGGAAAGAAAGGAAACTTGTTGACTGGGTACGATCGTTTACTTTTCTATCTTCTTTGTTCTTAGGCACGTTGTGGAAAGCTCCCCTCTCCCAAGAAAATTCTACTATAATTTTTCTTCTCTCTCTCTCCAAGAAATGCAAAGAAAATAGCTGTCAACTTTTTTTTGTTTATATAAATTTTAATAGCCTGAGCATGTCAACTAATCTTTTATCCAGGAAGGAAAGGTTTATTTCAAGTGATTGAAAGCTGAAATGCTTAGGTGTTCATTCTTTGTTGTGTGATGGGATCACAGTGTGAATATGCTACCTTATGATTAGTTCATCAATTCCATTCCCCAAATGCACTAACTCTAATGAGTACCTACTGTGTGCAAAGCCAGAGCCCCTGTTCTCAAGGCATGCATCTTCCATCATGGAGGGTAAAGCAGATGTTCAATCAACCATAGCACAAAGTGGAGTATACCAAATGCCTTAAGAGGGGGTGCAGAGTATGAAGACAGATCAATTATTTGGTCTGGGGTAAATCAGGGAAGGTTCCCACAGAGAAGTTGCCTTCTGAAATGGCACTTGAAGGAAAAGCAGAGAAGTCAGGAAGGGCGTTTCAGAGGGAAGAGGCATGGGCACCTGTCCCCGTATCCTGTATCCTGGACTACAAGGAGGAGGAACAGGGATCAGCATGTGGCCTGGTTTGACTGCAGGGATTATGTAAGGATGGAATGCAGTTTGGCAAACTCCTGGCATGAGTGTCACACTCCCCATCCTCCACCCATGGAAGACAGCATTCGTCAATCACACCCCACACCTTCCCGACCAACCTCAGGAGTCCCTTCAGGAGATGAGGCTGATTTGCCATCCCTGGAGCAGGAGTGCAGCAGTAAGTAAGGTAGAGCCTTGAATACCGCGTTGACTAGTTAGTAGTTAATTGGATAGGCAATGGGGAGCCGTTAAAGTCTTGTAAGCAGGGGAGTGACATGGTGGGAAATGAGAGCTGTAGTTCAGGGTAATTAACTTGGCAGAGCTGTCTAGGATGGATTAGAATGGTGAAAAGACGGAAGGCCAGTTATTTGGAAGGTTATTGGCTTGGTCTAGGCAACCAATAATGTCAGGAACTGGCCTGGTGGCCACAGAAAGGAGAGGCCGATGTTATAGAGATAGATGTTCAAGCACTTGACAAATATGTAAGGACGTGGAGAGCTAGGGGCAGGAGTGAAAGAGAAGGGTTAAAACTGACTCTGAGGTTCCCGGTAATTACTTTGGGGTAAGAAAAAAGTAGTGTTACTATTAAGAGAGGAGACTGACACCTGTAAGGAGATAAGGAGAGTCCTGGTGAATTTGGGGAGGGAGAGAGGAGTTGTAAAAATTGAATTCAGGCTTATTTGTTCTACAAAGCATAGCAGTTTTTGTTTGTTTGTTTGTTTTGTTTTAAGCCATTGTCTGTCAGAGAACTCAGTAGAACCAAGTAAAAGAACCGTTTTTAGGTAAACACTGTTGGTCTTTGTCAGTGTGCAGAGTCTAAGGAAGGCTCCTGTCTTTCCAAATATTTGGAACATTGAAAGCCTTAATTAGTAATCGGAGTAGGGGCAGGAGGGAAAGAAAGAAATACCTAATCACTGTGCTTTTCAGGTTTCAAATGCTTCCCCAATTCAGGTAATTTACACTTTAGTAACAATGATTGACAGTCTGGGAATGTATCTAACTCACTTTTATTTTTCCCTTGGGGAAAGCACTTGAGTTCCCAATTGTTTTAAATTGCAGAAGCAGTAATTGTTTGAGAGAGTTAGGAGAAATGGCTTTTTGGAGCTGAAACTTACTGCTGAAGGGACTATGGATTTTACCTCAATTGACTAGGGTCAACGGGGCCATTTTCAGGAAGGCCTTTCCAGGGTGAGCAAATACCAGTTTAGGAACCAATTGAAGGCCCAGGGGAATAGACTTAACCAAAACAAAGGATATATATATATATATATATATATATATATATATGCCACTTGCATTCCAAATTATTGGTGACATTAACATGAGAATTATCTTTTAAATATTCTAAATTAAATATGGGGCAATGGATGTATTTTGAGACACCCACGGGTCCCACAGGAACTTACTAAAACTGTGCACTTTGATATATGTGTTTACTTAGAAAAGTCAAGTGTGACAGCGTAGGTCAATTGTATGAAGAATATGAACAGACTAACCAATTGCGAATGGTATGAAGGCTGCTCTGGAAGTCTGTGCTCGAAGGCATAAGTAAATGCACACATCTGACTTGGGATGGAGGAGACAACCATGGCATTGTTCCTAGGTGCTGACAGGCTAACGCCAGGGATCCTTGCAGAGACTGGATGACTGTTCACATCTCATTTACATCACTCTCAAGAGTGGACCACAGGTTTTGCTGATTAACGCACAGACCACGGCAAACTGCATTGTGTATTTGAAACCAGACCAACATCGGTAACAGTAACACAAACCACATGTGAAGTTGGCAGGTGGAAGTTCTTCTTAAGCTATTATCTAACCAGGTTTCCCCTCCTTATTTTTAAAGTGCATTTTTTTTCCCTCCAAACCAGGAAGTCAGCAAATGCAAAATGTGCCACAATTATCTCCCCCTAAATATACATATTTATGCCACCTTTGGTATATAATAATATTTTTAAAAATATATTTTATTGATTTTTCTTATAGAGGAAGGGAGAGGGATAGAGAGCTAGAAACGTCAATGAGAGAGAAACATCGACCAGTTGCCTCCTGCATACCCCCTTTGGGGATGTGCCCGCAGCCAAGGTACACACATGCCCTTAACCAGAATCAAACCTGGAATCTTTCAGTCCGCTGACTGATGCTCCATCCACTGAGCCAAACGGTTTCGGCTATAATATTTTTTATTGTCTTAATTTGCGAGCGAGCAAGTGAGCCTTCTGAAAGGAAGGTGAGGAGTGTGTGTGTAAAATGTGCTGATTTCATCTGTGTCTTTGCAGGCCAAAGTAAATGGTGGATTGAGTATGGATGCAGAGAAATCAGGTTACTACCTTCTGGATGTTTTTCACTCATCCAATTAGTATTGTTCCTTCATATTGGAGTTGGGGGCAAATCAAACTAGCACTGATGCAATTTTCCATTTTCCTTGAGTTTTATTACTGTGTTTCAATAAAAGGTGGGTATAGAGTGATGCCTACCTACAATGATGTGACTTATTAGGTGCCGTTAAATATCTGAATTCTATTATCCAGATGTTATTAATGCTTCTCCAGTATATATCTTATAGATGAAACTGTACCATTCATAGCAAGAGCAACAGCAGACAATTAGCAGCCTCACGTGAACAAGATGCATCCCGCTTAGACAGCCATGTACCAAACAGGCCAAAATGTTCTTCAGTAGAAATTGCCCTGCCAAGTATTTCTGGATCCTCCGCGGAGGAAACAGCAAAGGAGCCCAAAGAGATCTTTTTCCAATCACACCAGAAGCTGGCCATTTATGAGATTCTAAACTCACAAAATCTGCGTTAGACACACGCATGTATCAAACCAAGACTGGAAACCCACTGGACTTCCCATAAGAAGTCAGAAGTGCCCGGTCCCCTCCCATCCTTTGCATTCCTTGGGGTGTCAAGTTCAGGTCTCACTCCTTGTAAGTTTCTGCTCAGTCCTGGGCTGGGGCTGGGCTGCAGGAAGCTACTGGCGGTTCCCCAACGTGGATCATCAGATCTGTCTCTTCCCGGGCTGATGCGGGTGGGGATGAGCTTAGTTCTCAAGAGAGAGCCTCAGAAGTAGTAGGCACGGAATCATCTCGCAGGTCTAAATTTCTGTTCCTGGACTGGGGAGGCGGCAGGAGGCTTGACAGCGTGGAGGACTGGGGCATCAGAAGCTCTCCTCTCCTCCTCTCCTCTTTCCCCCACCTCCCAAAATCGGCAGCCAGTCCGCGGCTCCCGGTCTGGGGTCTGGAGGGTGGGGAATGTGGGTGTGGGGGCCGGGGCTGGAGAGGCTCTCGCTAGCGCTGCCTGTGGCCAGACCCGCCTCCCGTCCCCTCGCGGGCGCACACACGCGTCCACCCAGACACACTCGGCGCGCTCCCTCGCCCGCCCGCCCGCCGCCGGGAGCACTCTCCCTTCAGCCAGCTCTCCACGGTCTCCTGCTCCTTTTTTTTTTTTTTTTTTTTTGGTACCATAGAGTTGCTCTGAAAACAGAAGATAGAGGGAGTCTCGGAGCTCGCCATCTCCAGCGATCTCTACATTGGGAAAAAACATGGAGTCAGCTCCGGCAGCCCCCGACCCCGCCGCCAGCGAGCCGGGCAGCAGCGGCGCGGACGCGGCCGCCGGCTCCGGGGAGACCCCGCTGCACCAGGATTCCGCCCGCAAGAGCGAGCCGCCCGCCCCGGCGCGCAGGCAGAGCTATTCCAGCGGCGGCGGCAGAGGTAGGAGCTGCGAGGGGGTGAGGAGGGGGCGGCGGGAGCCGGGGCGCGGGGCGGGGGGCGGCCGGGAGCGGGCGCCCGGGGCGCGGGGTCCGGAGCTGCCGCGCGCGCGAGCCCGCGGCGGCGGCGCCCCGAGCCCGGAGCACCCCTCTCCCCTCCCCCCCAGGCCCCCCAGAAATGTTGCAAACTTTTGCAGCCCGTCCTCGGTGTGCGGGGAGCGGAGGGGGGCGGGGAAGGCGGCAGGAGGCTTGACAGCCGGCGGGCTCACCCCCCTGGCTTTGATTTTCCCCCTGCAAAACAGAGGAGGGAAAGCCGCGCTGCCGAAATGAAATACGCTCCCCCAAAACACGGAGAACCGGGAGAGTGGGGGCCCCGGGAAAGAAACTTTTAAAGCGGCAGTGTCCTTTTAAAAGAAGGAAAAAAAGAGAAAAAATCTGTTTATGGCTACCTTCCGCCTCCCCTTTTACCTTTTTTCCTCTTTGACAGTTTGGGCCCAGGCTGCCCGAGGCGGGCTGGTTTTTTTTTTTTTTAAATTTTTTTTTTAATCCCTCCATAGAGCTGAGGGCGGGTGGGTGGAGTGAGCAACCAGGGAGACCCCAGGGTGGAGCGGGGGCGCCCCGGATCTGGGGGCGACGTGAGCACCTTCTCCGGTGGGCTAAGGGGTTTGGCCGAAGGGTTGAAGGGAGCGGGCTGCGGGTGCGAGAGGTGCCCGCCAAGTTGTCCGGCGGGCGCGGCGGAGGGAGATGCGCAAGTTTGCCGACGGGGGTTCGAAGCCCGGCGCCGGGGCTGCGGGGGGCGTGTGCGTCCGCGCGCGCGGAGGGAGGGCGAGCGGCGGGCCTGCGGGGAGCAGCTCCACGCGCCTTCCTAGTGAGCGTCCGCAAACGCAAACAAGCAGTCAAAGAAAGCTCGAAAGGCACCCAAACTTCTTTCTGCCCTGGGAGTCCTCCCCTCCTCGGTGAGGTTGCAAGCGTTTCTGCAAGAAGCTGGGCATGGTCCCTGCAAGTTGAATGCTGGTTGGATAGAGCAAGCGATGTCCCCCCCCCCCCCACCCTTCCCAGGACGATTTTTTTCACTTCATTTGGAGGGTGTGGGTGTGGGTGGTGTGGGGGGTTCCGTGGGCCCCTCCTTGCTTTTCCCTACTTACTGTGGAGTGCTTGGGAAAGCTCCCTCTCTCTTAAAGGTGTTGGGACACGATGCGGGTCTTTTTCTTGGGGTGGGAAGAATTATTTATTTGAATGCGCCTGGAGTTTGCAAAGAACCGGAGGAAGCGATTGCTTTAATGACTGTTGTAAATAATGTATAAATCACGCCTGTCACTCCGGAGGAAGCGGAGAGCAGCCCGGGGCCCGGCGGATAGGCTCCCCGGTTCGGGCCTGAGCGCGGCCCTGCGCGCCCCCTCCTCTGGCCACTGGGCTTCCCGCGGCCTTTGGGGAGGGCTGGGGAGAGGCGAGGGCGGACCTGGGAGCCGCTCCCTTACTCCCGGTGTTATAGTTGGAGGTAGGAACATGGCTGATCATGTGCTGGCTGTTTTACTGTATTCCCCCCCCCCGCACCCCCCAACCTTGGCCACACCCCCTGTCCGGGCGCTTTTCCATTCACGGAATTCGAGTACAGTAAAAGCCATCAGGATGACACACGCGAAAAACATTTAATTAAAGGCGATTTCCGAAGAGCGAACGCACCGAACCGCGGTTGGAGCGGGAGGGTGGGCGCAAATCGGGGTTCGAGCAGCGGGGAGGGGTGGGCTCAGCCAAGGCCGCGAGTGGAGGGAGAGGGATCAAGGTCGGGGGCCAGGACCTAAGGCCAGCTCCGTGAGTTTGTGTGTGGCAAGCTTTTGGCTGCAAAGAGTATATTTAGACCCTGAGACGGTGGATTTGGAATGCGAGCGGGTTATGTAACAGGGTTAATCAGAAACACTGGAGAAAATCCCCTTCATGTGTTTCTGAGGCTTGCTTTCTTTCTTTTCTTTTTCTTCCTTTCTTTTTTCTTGGAAGGGGAGATATATTATTTAGGGAGCCACACTAATTTCTGAGCTGTCACTCCCCTCTGTCTTCATCCCCCTCCCCCCCCCTCCCAAGTTTGTTATTAGCATCTTCAGGTGTCATTCTTGCCAGAAGGTGTTCTTGCAAAGAGATCAGGGTGGCAGGCTGCAGAACCAACTAGCAAATCCGCAACTTGCTGTTCTTGCAAATTATATAACGCCGGGGCATTCAGTACCACCAACCCCCTTGGCTCAGCAAAAAGGGGAGAGGGACAAGGAAGAGGTGCAGCTGACCTGCTGACCTGCTGACCTGCTGACCCTTGTCCCTACTCTACTGTGAAGCAACCCCTTGTCCATTCCTCGGGAGAGATTTTGTGAGGGGAGGGAGAGGGGTAAGGCCCAAACACTCAACTCACATCCTGCACGCAGGCACTAGGTTATATAACAGTCTGAATGGAAAAAGGAAGGTCAGAGATGGAGGCATCCTTTAGCTAACACAGCAGTAGTAATAGCTTCCAGAAATGATGTGCATTTGCAGTCTCTAACCTCAGAGGTAGCGCCTGCTCCTCAGGGGTACCCATCTATGTGTGTTGAGCCAGGGCGAAAAAGAGTGCATGTGTAAGTGTGTCTGGTAGTTGAGAGTGATTTAGAAACGGGAAATGTTTGGGTTTTCAGATGATGTAATGGAGTTGGCAGAATATGCAAGTCGGCTCCCAGAGTGTAAGCAGCAAGAAAATTGGAGCTGGCATCCAGTATTAATGTCGCATAAATTACAATATCGGAAAGAAATTAACCTACACACTAGGTGATTATGCCTTTATAACACTTAAAACATAAAGGCACACAACTCTGAGGAAAAGCAAACATCACCACCTTGTAATTAGCGTTTTCAACCTCAGGGATGGTTGAGTGGAGTTCTTGGCATTGGGTGAAGTAGGAAGCTTTCCTGAGAGGTTGCAGGGTTAGCCTCCAGCCAGCAGTGTTTGAAGGCCACCGAGATTGTGGTCTGGATCCTCATGACATTGAGGTGACCTCATGAGGCATTGCCTAGGTAGCTGCTACATTCCGAACTCCTGGGAATCCGCATGTGAACTGGCTGTGTATAGTATGTGCCTGAGCTTCCAAAATCCTACCTGAGACTTTATAATCTGAAGTCGGACCTCTCTCTTCCCTAAAACCTGGGCAGGGAATGTGAGCCGTTTTCATGGAAGACTGCCCCGTTTTCTAGGTGGTATTCATGTTGGCTGGTGTCATGTAGTCCCATCTTTACAGAATGAAAGGGGGGGGGGGGGGGAAGAACTGCAAGAAGCAACACGGGGAGTAAGAATGAAGCAGAAAAAGCCACAGCGAATCTTTAATTTAACAAGGCTTTCAGGGGCTTCAGGGAGCCACGAGCATTGTGACATAACTGTTGTTAAAAACCCCTTTCCAGAATCTCCTTATTATATGCATGCCAGAAGCTTACATATTTTACCTCACCGGAGTTATCCTCACAGCGGGAGGGTGCCACACAGTTGGTCTGGAACTCATGCTGAAGGTTGGATGCTTTTAGGGCAGGCCAACCTAAGGGGAAAAATCGAAACCAAAAGATGGGATTAACACTGAAAAGCTCAGTTGGGTTGAGATCGAATCCCCCTGGAAGCTCAGTTTAAATTGATTTAAAAATCAGTTAACAAGGCCTGTAGCCCTGAGGGATTCTAGAACCACACAAGCCTTTGACTTTGAAAGTGCTTCGCCTCCCCTCACCCCTTCAGCCCTAGCTGATGCCCTTTCTGGTAGGTGCTCTCGCCTGGCAATGGAGACCCCTCTCTAGAGACGGGTTCTCAGGTCAACTTTTCTGACACGGTCCCAGCTCTCTGCAGTGAACAAACGATGCCGCCTAGTTTAAAAGAGATGCTGGCTGGGATAAAACCCTTTGCCAGAGGGATGGGATAATTATTTTTTAAACCATGAGACTTTAATTTTCCAGTAAATTGCTCATAAAAACAGTTATAATTACACCCTCTAAAAATGTAATCGAGTAATTTTAGAAAATGCATTTGATGATATTTAGGATAGCCTTTTCTGTTGCTCCCCCCTCCTTATTTCTTAAAAAAAAAAAAAAGAAAAAAAATTGAATTATTAATCCAGGAGTCAAATCCTCCGCGGCTACAAACATGTACAGCAGACTCTTTTTATGTGAGTCACCTGCTGGAATGTCCCAAAGCCTCCTGGCGTGATGTGGAGCCCTTGGCTTTAGAAAACGTCTCTATTTCTGGTACCGAAATATGGAGCCTGAGTGGGGACCCCTAACCAGGAGACCCCGAAGCTCGAGCTTTCCAGGCAGCAGGGATGCCCATTCCCTACTAGACTTCTAAGAGAGATGCAGGGAGGTCCCAGAATGCTCACCGCAATAGCTGTGCCTCTGGTTGAAACTGTCCGGACGGGTTTTGGTGAATCCCTTTGGGAAGCAAGCCTCCCAGAGCTGACCTTTGGAACGCCCTGAGACAAGCCCATGGGCTTCCTTGAGCCACACACTTGTCACTTCTGAGTGAAGATGCACACTTCTCTGCCATTTTGGGGAGACCGTTCTCCCATGTTTGCCTTGAGGAAGGCGTGGAGTGATGTGGGGAGGACAGACTGAGTTGGGGGTCCCAGGGGAATTCTGTGGTCTGTTTGTTCTCTAAGCATCCGCGCTTTTCCCGAGTGACCTCTTTCTGTTCCATCCACCCTCCAAGTCTACTTAATGTGCTGGGCTTCTTAGCCTAAATAAGTGTTTGGAGAAGCAGAATGCGTAACTATATTTCAGGTGTCTGGGGAGAGTCGTAATGTGACTGCCCGAAATGCTAAAACTTTTTTATCGTAAATGCAGCTCTCCTCATGACGTTTCCTGTGGCTCCCCTCTTTTCCCTCTCAATGTGAGATAGAAATCATGCTCTGCCTCAAGGAGATTCCTGACCCGTTCACTCCAGATTAGTGATGAGTTTTCCAGAGCAAGAGGGGCTGCTGTGAAGGCCTTGGTCTAGGCCCCTAACCTAGAATC